TGTGTGAATACGCTTGGAGCCACTTTGCAACAACATTAAGTGGTCCAAAATTTACCGCACTTCGTCTCGGCCCTGTCACCACCCTAGAATTTGCAGAACATATTAATTAGATAATTAATCAAAGTTATTGTCGTCCTGAATAAGCATCATAAAATATCAACCACAATCAATTCATCAACTTATGATAAGTCATGAGGTTCTCCCAATATTAGTAGGAGGAAGTACGAATAAACCACAATGTTCAACCATGCGATTTTCGTTTCTCTCCCCATTCTATAATTATCTCAGAAATGGCAAGCAATCGACAGAAATTTCTGATTAAAAATTCACTTATTTCTTTGTTAAAAGCACTTGAAGGAAAAGTGACAACTGTTGAATTACGAAATGAACATACAGTCACAGGAACTATTGATTATGTTGACGGATTTATGTGTGTTTCAATGTCGAATGTTTGCTTCAAAACGCTTTCAGGAAAAATGACCAACTTCGAGCAATTTTACATTCAAGGACCTAATATAAGATTTGTACAGATTCCAGACGAAATTGACATGAGAAAGGCGATTCATTATGAGGTAAATAAAGAAAGGATAATGAGGCAAAGGATGCAGAAGGCAATAAGTGATGCAGTTATAAAAAAGAGACAGAAAAGAGAAAAAGAAATAACGAAAAAAGAAGAAAAAGAACAGAAATTGCTGAAAGAAGCATTTGATAAAAAAGATGAACCTAACTGATGTGGGAGGATATTTTTCAATGATTTGGACCATTGGATGTGGTAATGTACAGGTTACCAAGCACAGCACAATCAGGAATTGGAAGAACCATATTTTGATTATAGGCTATTCAAAGATGGAAGAAAAGCAGTAGCAATGCGATGTTGATATTTTGAAACTGTGTTATTATATAAACATTTAACAATCCAGTTGATAAGTTAAAAAAATAATGCATACAGCAGTATAAATTAAATTGTGAATATTCATCATGTTTATTCTGAGTATACAACATTTTTTTGTACAAATGTAGGTGTATTGACAATTTACAATGTACACTCTAAACAAAAGTTCATTTTAGTGTTTTGAGTAAAGCCAAAATAAAATTTGTTTACTTTATGACCCTTTGTTATGCCATAAAATGCCTTCTCACTGGGACTATTATACTATAATAGTCCCAGCTTCTCAACAGTTTTTACTGACACTTTCAAAAGAAAAAAATTGAAACAAAATTGCAAGTCTCCCCTAAAAGTCCGCTTGAATATGTTATACTAATCACATTGCTGATGAAAGGTTATAAAATAAAGAATAAAAAAAATTAATCTTGCTTACCTACATCATGTACATACATTATTTTTTAAGAGTAACATGGTAAATTGGGTTGGGGGCTTAAATACTTAATGGATAGGGGGTGCCGCTGGTGTTCTGTTACCCCACCCTTTTCAAATAATTTGTAGGTGAAAATGTAACCTTTTCCAAAATTAGTTGGGTTTTGTAAAATCAAAAAAATATCACCTTTGCTCACATCTGAGGCTCAGGTTCCTTATGTTATGTTTACTTACGGCGAGACTTTCATCTGTGAAAAAAAATACATATCGGTAGGCATATAGCTTTTCATATAACAAGTAATGGGAACTTTATTGACCTTATCATATATTTCTGATAGTTTCCCCATCTATTCACATAGTTTCAAGCAAGAAAATATGACCTATTCCAGCGCATGTCCTATCACCTTGTATATAGGAAGTGGACCCCCCCCCCCCCCGAGAAAAATACATACATATTTTTGTCTGGCCTAGAAAGTATTAACTTAAGTGTACATGTACATGTACATAGTAAGTTGTACAACCAACAATGGCAATGCTTCTGGAATCATTAATGATTTTTTAAACAGTTTTAATTACCTCTAAACAACCAACATCATCATACTCCTCCGGAGGAAAAATGTACATGTACAAACAAAGTTAACCAACAATGGATACAACACATTACAATAAAAAGGCAAAAAACTTTTAGAAAGTAAGATCAAAAGATGCTTGCTACCTCAGGAAGTTGGCTAAGGAAGCTACCGCTGTTGGTTGGATAATGCTGCTCAAGAAAACAAAATTGCTAACAACACTCCTTTATTGCAGAGTATCTTTACATTACCATGTATATGAAAAAGTGATCTTCTTGAACATGTATGTAATATTCGCAGCTGGACATAAGTCACCACCAATCAGTCAATAATCTTATCAGGATTTCTTTGATATACTGTACAGTTGCTGCTTACTATATTCTCTAAACCAGTGGTTTTTAATCATGTTATTGGTGAAGTTAAAATCAACCCTGGTCATTGAAATTTTAGGGACGCTTCATAACTTGTTTGATCATTACAAAATACCTTGACTGCATACATGGCATATAGCAATTGATATGTTCCATATCCATAACTTGTCTTGGAATACAACATATTAAGCAGATTTGTTAATTGTCTTCATCAGCAGGACGGGAGGCACAAGAGGAGAAGGAACTGGTGGGATTTGTATTGTTTATTATGTTTTTTTTTCAATATTGGACTATTATTAGTCTTTTTTTTTCTTTCTTTTGGCTATGATGATCTTACTCCTTCATCAACATGACGGATGGCACAAGAGAAGTAGGAACTACTAACTCTTAAGAGACCCTGAGCTTATATGTGTTTTGGTGGGATTTGTATTGTTATGTTATGTTTTTTGTACTATTATTTTGATAGCCACCAAAATAATAGTCCAAAAAACAGCCTATAGTGATCTAAACCTTCAATCAACACAAAAGTAGCAGGAATTGTTTATTTTTATGGAGCCCCTTAGCTTAGCTGTGTCTGGTGTGGTTGTGTTATGTTTTGTGGACTATTACAAGTCTTCTTTTTTCGGTGCCTTCCTTCAACACGACAGGTGACACAAGAGGAGTAGGAACTGCTTACTTTTATGGATCCCCTGAGTTTAGCTGTGTTTTTGGTGGGATTTGTATTGTTTACAAATGTATCATGTTTTTTGGAATATTATTATTTTTCTTTTTTACTTTGGCAATTGGAATCTCTACCCTTCTTTGTCTTAATATATATTTTCCTCTTGTGGCTTCTTACTTTCCTAAACGGTTTATTATATTTATATAATGAATGTACTTAGAAGAAAAGAAGCTTAAACCAATAGTCAAAGATCTAAGATTTTTACAACGGTTGTTGGGTAGAAATGCAAATTAAGCCAATTCATATTCTTCATGCTTGCACTATTCTTCAACTATGATGTATGTCTGGCTGGGATAATCTCCCTTTGACCTGAGTTATTTACTGATTATGATATCTTTAATAGTATGTGGTATATATACATAGCTTGGACATGCTGTGTGGACCCTCGTCTCACAGTTGTTTTGCCCTCTTGGCATTACAGAAACTTAACATTTTTAAAGATCTATGACAATGAGGTCAAGGTCAGATAAATCATGTCAGACAGACATATAGTATACACCTTACAATTTTTTTATACACCAAATATAGTTGGCCTATTGTGTATGCTAATTGAAAAACAGACAAAACCTTAACATTGATCAATGAACCATGAAAATGAGGTCAAGGTCAGATTAAACCTGTCAGACAGACATGTGCACCTCACAATTATTCCATACACCAAATATAGGTGACCTATTGCTATTAGTATTTAAGGAAAACACACCAAAACACAAAAATTTAACATTGACCAATGAACTATGAAAATGAGGTCAAGGTCAGCCGATACCTGCCAGACAGACATGTACACCTTGCAATCATTCCATACAACAAATATAGTTGACATATTGCTTATAGTACTTGAAAAACAGACAAAAACACAAAAACTTAACATTGACCAATGAACCATGAAAATGAGGTCAAAGTCAGATGAAACCTAGTTATATAGTATAGTATTCTCAATATAGTATTTGAGAAACGAAACTAGTCATGTTACTTTAACCTTGATCACTGATCCATGAAATGAGGTCGAGGTCAGATGCAGTGGCGGATCCAGAACTTTTTGTAAGGGGGGCACTGACTGACCTAAGGGGGGCCGCTCCAGTCATGCTTCAGTGATTCCCTATATAATCAACCAAATTTTTCCCACAAAAGGGGGCAGCCCCCCCCCCCCCCCCCCCTGGATCCGCCTATGAGGTGAACTCTGTCTGACAGATATGTAGACGTTGCAAGGAACCCATATACCAAATATCCTATTACTCATAATAAGAGAGAAATGCACATGTCATATAAACTCTTTTTTTTTCAAGCAGTCGCTGAATCCTGAAAATGAGGTAAAGGACAATGGACATATGATTGATGGAAACTTCGTAACATAAGGTATCTGCATTAAAGATATGAAGCATCCAGGTCTTCTAACTTCCGAAATATAAAGCTTTATACATTTGCTTACGCCGCCGGATAGTTATAATTATGTCTTGCATACTGAGACTTTCTTCGCAGTGCAAATGTACAAAGTTTCACGTTTCAGCTGAAAACCCGTTGCAGTTTGGGGTTGAATTAGTAGTACATCAGAAAAGTTTTGCTTTTCGTGGGTATAAACTATGTTTAAATCAAATTACCCATCATATTTTGTTAACTCGAGCGAGCCCTCTCTAGTTGCCTTTTAATACCTTGGACATATTTTTTTTTTTTTTTTCGTATTCATATACATGTATGTTAGTACTGATTTAAGAATCGAGGGATTTTTTTAAACGCAGAAAGGTTTTGATATGTATGATAAGGGATTGGATAAATTATCTCTTGTTAGCCCTAACTTCCAGTGAGATACAATTAAAACCTGGTGTAGTGTAGGATTTCATGTCGGGTTTGTTTATAGCTGACTGTGCGTATGTTTTTGCTCATTGTTGAAAGTCGTACGTCACTAATAGTTGCTAACTTTTATGTCAGTTGGTCTCTGGTGTGAAGTTGTTCTTCCATTTGGCTTTCATACCACATCTCCATATTATTATATTCTAGATATGAGGGAATTGCAAAAAAGAATGAAGCAAGTTTTGATATTAATTTAATGAAATTAATATTGATACATAAATAATATGAAAAGGAAATAAAATGAAATAATGTCAATCATTTGAATAAATTCTATAATATATATGAAAACATTGGGTGTACATGATATATGGAAGAATACGATTTCTGGTGTCAATTTTTAATTTCATACCTTAGAAGTTAATTTTCAGACTCTTGTCCTCTTTTCGGTTTCATATATTTTTCATCATTTAAGCAATATTTATGTTAAATTTCTTGCAATTATATATATTTAAAAATAATTAAAAAAAATTAAAATGAAATCCGAGCATCCACCTAACCCTTTATACACACACACATCATCTCCATTAATTTTGTAATGAGCTTCTAAATTCAATTTGATATGTCAATAATGCCAACCATCAACTGAAGATAAAACCGACATTTCTGAAATTCCTTGTCATGTCGACAAAAGTGAAGAATTATTCGAGTTAATATTTTCAGTATTTGTGTAACAGAAGCTGCTTTTGGAGGATAATGTTGACTCGGTTCTTATACAATCCTGGCTTTCAAATATTCGGCTTTGCCGGAGCGTTCCCGGTGAAAATAAATAGTTATCAAAGGTACCCGGCTGATAACTTGATACGCCAGACGCGTGTTTCGTATACATAAGACTCATCAGTGATGCTCAGATCAAAATAGTTAGAAAGCCAGACAAGTACAAAGTTGAAGAGCATTGAGGACCCAATCATGAAAAGCGCTTCAGACGAATGAAATTTATAAAGTGTTGTTTTTAATTTTTGACCGATAAGTTTTACTGATCTCTTCATAGTACAGATAATTTCATGAGACAAAATATCGAAACTCAACTTATACTCGCGGATACTTTGGAATGTACACAAACAGGAACTATAATTCATGAGGGTCGTAATAAGGGTACCTTCATGACGAATAACGGTAAAAAAATTTGCAAAATGACGTTAACGGAAATTTTTGGTGCATGACGATAAAATGTACACTTTTTTTATGACGGTAAAATAATCGACTGATTTTGACGAATCACGTTAAATTCTTTCCAAAAATAACGGTAACGGTTAATTATTTGAGACCTCTGACGAATCACGATAAGGATATTTTGACGAATCACGAAAATTTTTTAACCAATTTGACGCTAACGGTAGCCGAAAATGACCGTTTGACGCCTGACAGTAAAGGGAATTCCTACCCTCATTCATGCCTTGCAAAACTTGATATAAAATTGTATGGATGAGTATGGCTACAAGTAGTAAAAATACACCATCGAAAGTTACCATTTGTCGTATGATCCTTACTGACATGCTCTACATGTTGTTGTGGATAATAAAAACTCTTTGTGAAAAACACATTGTAGTTGCCGATCCAGTTTTTTCATCCTACATTGAATTACAACTGACCGAAAATGCTAAAATTCAATTATGGTTCATGATCAGGCATAATGGAAAATGCATTTTTTTCAGTGGCAAGTCATAGGCAATAATCATAGAGCAATCGAAAGGCGTAAAAAGCATCGACATAAGGCAATATAGTGACGTCCAACAAAACATTGACGCCATTAAGCCAACCAAAACATTGTTTTACCCTCTCCCACATGATTATAAGACTTTAAATATGACGAGAGACCTTTTTTGTCAAACCAAAAGTTTGTTTTCTTGTTTTCAAAAAAATGTTACTTAAAAGTATAGAGAAGATAGGTATATGTGAGAGTTTCACACACATATCACTAATTATTTATGTTTGGCAGAATAATGGCATCTGTACCAACATATTTAAAATTCAAGTTTTTTTTCCAAATGTGAAAATTAAACTGTACAGAACAATTCAGAATTTAAACTTCCGTCCCGAGCTCTTTATAATTATGTTGCGTAGTTTCAGTGTCCTCGTTAATGACATTCAGACCAATCAAAACGTACAAAACATCGACGTTCCCATAATGCAATAGGGATTTCTGCAGTGAATGGTCCGCTTAATAACTAGACATGATCTAGTTTTGTAACTTTATGAAAAGAAATTAACGTTACTTAAACAAAATCAAAATAGATGGGTGGTGTTGTAACAATATCTCCCACATCATCAGAGCCATGCTTTCGTGCAATAAAGCGGTAAGACAAAAATTAACTACATGTGTTTCCTTCAGAAGAAAGTGGGCGAAACCAACTGTTTTTTTTTTCTATACTAGTAGTAAAGAGTTACAGTATTCAAATGTATATGTATAAATAATTTTTCAACTATTCTCTATACATCATAAAATAATTCAGTGCAATCTATAATATTATCATTAATTATATATAATATATAATTTTATTTACTATATACTTTTTCAATGCTTCACATTGCTGACAATTTTAAAACAATAATGCAACTTTTTTCATCGATGGAAACCTGCCACCGAAATGGATTAATTTGTAAATGAAAAAAAAAAGCTAAATAAAAATTACAATATAATTATGGTTAAAAATTGTGCCCTTCATGGTGTGAAATAAATGCTCGGACATTTGTCGCTTTTTGAGGGAAATTTTGTTGATGATCAGTTTCAATTTCCATCTTATTTCCAAAAATTCAACTTGTCCCTCCTTTAACCACATAATGAAATGGTCACCATGTAAACCATTACTCTAAACATAAATAACATACACGACTGTATGTTAATGTTAACAAATATTTATTTTTGAAAATTCAAATCAAATAATAAGGAAATTATTTCAGTGGAAAATTTAGTTATAAGGAGATAATATTTGATTTAAATTGGCTAGATATTTAAAAAAAACTTGAGGAGACGGTAATTTTTCAATATTGACGACGACTGACTTTAAACTCGGCCATATTTAATACTGATTTCAATGTTATACACACATCTCTAATAAATTAATTTTGCTAATAAGACTGCGATCACTAGTACTAATAACGCAAATCCAATCAAAATTTTAATGTTGTCGGACTGGGCCTTTTCTAACTGTAGTTCAAGGTCTTTAATTTTGGATTTCTCTTGCGTCATTTCATCATGATCTTTGGTCGGGTCATTGGTGGAATGTTGGTTTTCATCAGGTTCGGTAGACTTAGGACTTTTGCTAATGTCATTTAACTGTTTCTGGCATTTCTCAAGCTGTATTCTCAAAGACATCAAATCTTCATTCTTTCGAGTCATTTCTTTCTTTAAAACCTCCATTTGCACTTTACCTCCTTCATTATCTACAGAAATTTCAGAACCTTCAGGTATCGTTTGGAGATTGTCAAGTTTACTTTGCAATTCTGACATAGATGATTTCAGCTGAGAATTTTCGTCTCTCATCTCTTTTATTTTTTCTGACTTCGATGTAATAGAATCTTTTGCAGACGACAGATTATCCTTTAGATCACCTATTTCCATGTGAAGATTATTTATGGTCATTCCCCCTTTATGCAGTTTTTCTCTTATTTCACTAACCGTTTCATCTTTTAACAGAAGTTGCTCTTTCAGAGAATTTACAACTTCCGGCGAATTATCCTGTGTCTGATTGTTTTTCTTTAACTGAGTTACCTCCCCTGTCAATGTATCTATTTGTTCATCCTTTTCCTCTATATCATTTGTCAATTCATCTATGCGTTTTTGAAAACCTGTGCGGGCCTCCTTTACAGTTTCTTCTGTTTCCTCAAGACTTTCTTCTAATAAATCTTTCTCCTCACGAAGTTTTGACAATTCTTGATCTTTTTCCACTAATTGTTGTTTAAGCTTAATTATTTCATCATTTTGATCAGAATCCATCGTAGGCGTTATATGTCTAGGGCGATGGCTTTTTCGTGTGTTATCTGATGTTATGACGGGAGTTTCTTGTTACGAATCATTTACCTAAAACGAAAACAATAACATGTGATGAAATAATGCATTAATGAACACTTTATCATCATTATGCATAAAACAAACGATACAAGAAATAATGAGAATAAACACTTCACAGACCTTACATTCTCAGACATACTACTGTTTTCTTTTGACAATCCCTTCTTAGCAATTCTTATGAATAACCGGACGTGTTGAGTAAACCTCAGTAAGACCGCATTCTTACAACGTAAAAAAAAAGAAATACATTTAGCGTTCTACATAATGTATAAAATTAAAGTGACATATTTAGTAAAAAGTAAAATAACAAAAATACCGAACCCCAAGGAAAATTCAAAACGGAAAATCCCTTACCAAATGGCAAAATCAAAAACTCAAACACATCATACGAATGGAAACCAACTGTCATATTCCTAACTTCGTACAGGCATTTCCTTATGTAGAAAATGGTGAATTTTATAGCTAGATAAACCTCGTAAATGCCATGATCAACAGAGAGAATAAGGAAGAACAAATACAAACTATATTTAGCACCTAAATTCTTGGTCTAAAAACGAATTAAGGCACCAACCATTGGAAAAGGGGGGGGGGGTGCTCTGACAATGTTTTTGTCGACTTATAAGAAAACAAACATACAGGAATTTTATTTTGAAACCCAATGTATGTTTAATTTCCCTTTTGAAACCAATCAATAATTTTCCACGATATTAAGAATCAAACATTTAAAAAAAAGACTGGTAGGTGCACAGCGAAACAACAACAACTGGACGTGAACTTTTGACTTGAGAAAGACAACTAAACATGTGGACACAGGCGCTTTGGGGGAATGAAACCCTTTTTTTCTCTTTTTTGAGTATACATTTTTTTATTCTATTTTCTTTGATAATTCATCTTATTTTCCCTTATTTTGCGTGCTCTTACTCTTATAGCCGTATACTAACTCAAGTTTAAATGAAATGTACTTGTAACACAATTGTGTTCCATACGTTAATCATCAGGAAGTAACTAAATACAGCAAATCAGAAACGATTACATGTAACCTTTATAGACACTTAATAACAATCTGTACGAATATTATAGACCTATACCCTGCAGCCAATAAATGACCATGTCTACTGTGAAATAACATGTATCCGTCAGGGGTTAATTGCATAGTTTGACAATTAACCACAGACTAGTATTACTCCACAACCAGACTACTACGTAACCGGCCTACAGCTATGGACCGTTTGTATGGACCACTAGACTATATAAGATCTCTCATTTTGGACTTCAAGACACAATTCGATCACACCAGAATTCGTCAGATCTCGGCCAGTGTCTCAGTGAAAAACATTTATTTGAACTTTTAATCGCTCTTTGAATACTTGTAAATTAAGCAATAAATTCTAATTGACAAGTATTAGTTAACTTAATTGACTTCGCAACATAAGTCAAATTGATGCCGTTTAGACCAGGATCGACTTGGATTGGCTAAAACAACGCAAAGGAATATAAAACGTAAGAACTAAGTTACTTTCATTTTTTTTGTTTATGGACAATCAAGATATTTCTATGTCAGCGCAAAAAGTAGAAATGGCTTTTCAAGGGATGGCACACATGTTAAGTACAGTTTTTTTAATTTTAAAGGGAATGAGGCCGTATATCTAAAAGGCTTAAAATCAGAAGTTTGTTCACGAGCTGTGGTTCGCACGAAATTTTTTTATTAGTATTTTTAGAAATTGTACGTCAATTTAAGAATTATGAATACACATATTCTTAAAACAATTGAAGATAATTTTTTAGTTATTTTTATATGCAGTTATTTAATAGATAGGATACGTTATATATAGTAAGTATGATTCTTTAAAATAAAACTTTTTTTTTAAGTTTGAAGAAGCTAGTTTTTCGTTGAGAGTAAATATGTAAAAAAGTAAAATGTCTGATACTATAGCATTTTTTCGTATTTATGGTTTTTGATCATATATATTATGGGTTGTTTTCTTGAAGATACATTCAATTATTCTAGAAAATATATATCTTACGTAAAATTAGTAGAGCACCGGTGTAAATTAAGGTTGAATTAGAACCTTTGGTAGATGAAGTTAAGGGTACATTGAGGATACATTGTTTGCGTGTTATTGCCATTGATGATTATGGGTTTACGCAGTTGGGTAGTGTTTACGCACATTTGTTTAGAGAAAACAAATAGTCTATAATTTTAGATTCCAACCCCTTCTTCGGATGATTAACATAAGTGATGTTAAGTAATTAAATGGTGCAAGTTGTTTTATGGTGTTAGATTACGCCTTATTTACATAAAATAAATGTTAATAGATAAAGAGAAGTATCTTCAGAAAATAGCACATTAAAGATAAATGTTGATATGTTTTGCCCAAAGGGATTTACAGTATTTTTGTGGTAGATTGATATTTGTAAAAAATGAGAGACACATGAACTTCATGACTAATGACAAAATTTAAGTGAAATAGATAATTGATATTAAAGGAAAACTAGCATTAAAATAAAATAGATTTTTTTTAAAAACAATTATGAGGATAATTATCAGAAATTAAAATAAGAATAAGAAAATAATTAATTTAGTAGTAAAACAAAAAATGAGTCTAAACAATGGGTTTTGTTCATAAATAAGCATAGAACAAACTTTAAATTGTTTTGGTTTTTAAGAAGTAAGTCAAGTTTTAAAAAAAAATAGAATGAATAAAATCTCAACATATATACATTCAGTTATAATGAAATGTATAAAAAAGATAGGCAGTAGGTCGCTGATGTTTTAAAGCAAATTAAAATGATATATATAAAAAAGAAAGGAAAGATTATGATGAAGAAACTATAAACTTGTTATGGAAAAATGTAATAGATTAAGGAGAAAGGCATTTTTTTTTTCGCAACAAGGTGTTGTTGTCAAATAGGAAACATAGAGTCAGTAACAAATTGCGCAAGACGTAGTTAAATTTTATCAATGTAATCTTAAATATTTTTAAGAGTGATGAGAATAAATTTGTGGACTATATTTAGCATTAAAATTAATTAATGAGAAACTAAAGTTAAAGACGTAAAAGTATTACAATTGGTAACAAAATAACACATAATTTTTAGTATTTTCTATACGTAGGTGTAGGGGTTATATAAAATGAACAAATTGAACTTATTTGATTGTAAATTTGTAAATATGTTTCTTATGTTTTGTGTAAATAAACAAAACTTTGTTTTTATTATGTAGGATTCTCAAAATTGTAGAAGTGGTATACGACAGTTTTTTTTCCTCTTTTGTTTTTTGTTTTAACCAGATAATTCGATATTTAAGAGAACGTATTGATTTTACCTAGAAATTGTTTTATTAAAATTTGCTAGGCTTGAATAACCCAGTGAACTAAAGGCGATTGAACAAACGATTGATAAATAAAAAAGTAGTAAACAATATTTAGTTTTTCCAAATTGAGATAAGTTTATCAGTGGGGTTTAGGTGCGATCTTCATTGGAATAGCCATATTTTTGTACTGTTAATTTGTTCAGAATATATCTTGGTTGGCCAAAAAGAAAAGTGTGAGTTTTGGTTCTAATGCCATGAACAATGGGTACAAAATGGTGTCTACGTGATTGGTTGGGACAGATGTTACTGATTCCAGAGAGATGTCTTTCTCTGCGCCATTGATCAAGGACGAAACTTAACCGAAGGCCGATGTTAACAGCCTCTGAAGAAGGATGAACCAACCAGCTAGATGCGTCAACTACTTCGTAATGGAGATGATGATGATGACCGACACGTGTACAAAGATGTGTGCCCTTTCCAGCAGTTGATGAACAATATTCTATAATGGTGACGGGAAACAGTATGCACAATATATACCCAAATATTGAACTTATGATTCGAATGAACTATGTGTAAATATATCCAGCTATTGGACTTGATGAATGTGATGAACTTATTATATCATGATATTGGACTTATAGAACTTTATAAACTTTAGATATGTGGTGATGGTTACCGGAAACCTTACAATAAACTATATTAGAATAACCTACAGGAAGAAAAATACCGTATTTTATTGAACTTTCGTTCTATTTTGGATGGAAGGCATTATGTAACACAATTGTGTTCCATACGTTAATCATCAGGAAGTAACTAAATACAGCAAATCAGAAACGATTACATGTAACCTTTATAGACACTTAATAACAATCTGTACGAATATTATAGACCTATACCCTGCAGCCAATAAATGACCATGTCTACTGTGAAATAACATGTATCCGTCAGGGGTTAATTGCATAGTTTGACAATTAACCACAGACTAGTATTACTCCACAACCAGACTACTACGCAACCTGCCAACAGCTATGGGCCATTGTGTAACGATGGATGACCCCACTGAACTATATAAGATCCAGCTTTGGACTCGAACGAGATGGATTCGTACAGATAGATTCCGACAGGAGATTCGGCCAAGGTCTCCCCCCTCGTGGGTAGGCTGGAACTAAAGCACTTATATCCGAATGTACTCCATCAGGACTGAACGGTTATACCACTATACGATCACGTGTCCGTGTGACGATATGAACATTTGAACAATTCAACTTTAGAGACAGTTTGTGAACAATCTAACATTTGAACTTTAGAAACAGTCTTAACTTTGTAATTACATAATAAAAATTATTTATCCACTTACTGACTTCTTTACATACTGCCCATTACTCTTATTCCTATAAAAATCAAACAAACAAGAAACCAGAGTCTGTCAGAGTGACAGCAAACCGGATTTCCTGCAGAGGTCGAACCCTGAACAGTTGAGCAAGTATGGACACTACATTTAAGCTTAAAACAGCTCTGAATTTGGATTGTGATTGAATATTTGACACAGCATAGGTTTGTGACACAAAATGAATGTGGTCAAAGAACTGAAAAATTTGAAATTGGACATTTACCTATTACTGTCCAATATCCAAAATCTAAGTACATTGTTAGAACCAGTATATCAAAGAACCCCAAGAATTCAATTTTTGATGAA